ATCAGCCGTAAGCATCTGTGTCTCTATGTCAGTGATCACATAGGTACTCAAGGCTGTGTGTTGTGTCGAAAGAAAAATAGATTGCTCAAGTTGTGTTGTACTCATGTGATCTGGTCATGATGAGAGGAAAGCAATAATGTTACCATTCTCTCTCTTGTCTAAATATCTATTGATTTAGCTATTTATTCTTTGGGACTGCTAATCTAAGTACTATTTAGCAAACCGACCAATGAACAATAACTAAGAGCTTAACGCTTATGGATTCTCGATCTCGTTATAACCTAATGTTCACACATAAAAGGAAAATAGAAAACAGATCAGTTCCTTATTGTAGTCAGTTCATTTATGACTTTAAACTCTTAAAATAATATAACTGAAATGTCTGACCGTACAGCAACACGATTAAAAAATTAAAATTTGTTTATAACTTGGTCATAAAAGACACAAGATCAGAGTAATTGGGGAATAGTGATTGATGATAATTCTGGAATTATAAGACATCTTAATAAGATAGATCAAACAGAAACTTAGAAATAGGTTAATATAAAAACAAATAAAATAGTTCAAGCATCTTCCAATAGTATTATGAAAAAATATATAGAACTATTCGTATGATATTTTAAAAAGTTATACTTCTATACTATTAGCCCCATTATATTACTTCGTTTTTTGCTTTAAACAATATCTTGTTATCTGTCAGGCTACTTAGCTCATATAGCAACTTGTTCAATGGATATGAATATGTAGGCATATCTAATGTTTCGTATTTTTTTTCGTTGTTGATATTTAAGGACATCATTTGCTCAGTATTGTGCTTAGTGGTAATATCAAGGTAATCCATCCGCGATGTTGAAATACCAAAATATACTAATCAAATCTAGACCCTAATATCAACCATGTACAAGATCAAATCCGTATACATATCATACGAGGTTAATTTGTTTTTCTGAGACTGTAGAGACTTGTGATATGATTTGGGGCTAAGGTTCACAAATGAAATATACGTTTTAGAGATGAACTGGACGCATGTTTATTTTACTGAGATATATTAATTATAAAATGAAGTTTATGCACAAAAGTATGCCTACTTATAAGTAGCTAAACTAATATAAAAAATTATCAACGTTGATGACTGGATTATGATACGGATTGATTACAACATGTAGTATATATATATATATATATATATATATATATATATATATATATATATATATATATATATTACTACATAGGACTAGTGAGCGAATTCCGGAAGTTCAACAGTGAGGACAGTCGGATTACAATATTAATATAATTATAATTTAATATTATTTCATTTTGACTTTAAGGGGTGAATGTGGTTTTTTACTATGGAAATAAGCTTTGTGAATAGATATATACTATATATCTATATAGATATATCAAAATATTCTTCTTGTTTTTTATCAGAATAAAACTGCATCAAAAAACTTACAGATGCAAACAGACTTCCTAACGATGGCCACATTCTTCTAAATTAACAAAAAAGTCTTTCAAAACCCAAGGTCTATAATTAAAAAGTAATCATTTGGGAAATTAGAGGTTATATGGTGTCCTGTAATATAGTTGCATTTTGATTTACACTCCAATCTACGTAATAAAATCTCCGTCCATAAATCACTGATTACAAGATCTGTAAGTGATGGCCAGTATACATCCTGCAATAGTAATAATAACTTTATATTTTGCTATTGTCTTTTTTCATATCTGATTGTACAATTAATGTTTGCTTCAAAAATATTTAAAACGTGTGAAGGTAACTTATTTTCGAACTATAATGGAACTATCGGTTATTATTTTTATAGCATTATCTTACGGCTTTAAGACATGTTCAAAACAATTTACAACGGATACTCAAAAATACATAATCAACTTGTATTTATAGTTGGTTTCGCAATCATTATTAGTTTCCGGAGATCTTCAAAGTGGGAGGAACTGATTTTATTCCTTAGATTTAATATTCTGCTTTATAATATCTGTAAGCACGACAAATTATCGTGTGGCCAACTGTAACTTATAATTTGCATGGTTTCGTTAACAATAGGTTAATTCAGTTTTGTGGACACATCCTTGTGCGCGCGAACCATTTTTCATTCCACTTGTCTTTCTATCACTGCTTAATATTATATAAGTCTTATAGGGTTTCAATGTAGAACAAGTACATTGTAAATTACAAATCACTAGCTTACGCCAAAATAATATTCTTTGAAAAAAGTAGGGTCATAAAATTAGGATTTTGAGCCCTAGCATTGTAACCAGCAGGTGGACTAGTCCTTGGAACTTTTCGGCTGTTTAATGACAAACACTCATGTGAAAGTATCTATTAATGCTTAGTCAAAGATGTCAATATGAGTACCACAAATGTAGCGAGAATTCGTAGTGCAAAACAAGAGTGAAAATTACTTAGTAGTTTTATATTATAACACTTATAGTTTGTCTTCAGGTTATGAACTTTTATTATCTGCTCAATACTAAAGTAGGCCATATTCAATGTAAAAAGTGAATAAAGTAACTTTTGGAAGAAGAGCTAAACCGCCTATGTAGTAAACACTAAATTTTACATATTGCTTAGTAATAATATTTAAAGAAGCGAGGTACTTATAATAAAACAAAGCAAACATGCCTTCAAAAAATAACGACAAATCTGAAGTCCTGTGAGAATCTTTAGACATGATTGCCGCAATCCTACGAATTGCCAGATAGCAATCAAAAAACATAAACATGACTGAGACCAGAGAAAGTGATTAATGGATTTTAAAAACTTTGAACACACTAGGATAAAATCACATGTAAAGAACTGAAAGCAGTTCCAGTAAATCAACATGAAAGTGTATTCTAGGATTTTGAGAAAATGTCAAGGCTTTTTTTATAGGACTTTAGGAGGAATTTATTTAGAATGGTGGTGAGCATTCATGTTCGATGGAAAAAATTCCCAACAATTCAACCAGCTTCAGTGATCTAACAGATTCTGAGTCCTTCATTCAATGTTTATGTTGGACTCAATATGCTTCCGGGAATGCCCAAGTAGCGGTAAATAAATCCCCAAAATAAATAGCTCTGTAAGTTTTCGACATCGGATGCTGACCAGATTAGTTTTAGTGAACTCATCTAGCTGAAGGCGCTCGGTCATGCGTCCGCACCAGATCACGTGTGGAAACGCCGTGCTCAACATCTACTACAGTCGCTAGCCAGACTAGATCAGACAATTCCGATATATTGGCAATCGTCAAATACAACTTCTGATCTCCACGATTCTGTCTTTTGATTTCTCTTGGTGGGTACGAGTTATAATAGGTGTTACTGGTAAAAGCGTTATCAAACACTGAATACCTGTGCCATCTTCACCCATAAGCATTTACAACACTAGCAGGTTATCTTGTATTCTCCAAGTAATAAAGATCTAGTGTTTTCAAGTCCTCGTTTGAATAGAACCCTAATCCACATTCTGATTTTTTGGCTCATCATTAAGTACGAACCAGTGTTTTCACTCGTATGGGGGGCGAAAGCACTATGAAAGGGATTGAATGTACCTACCTATATCAGTGTGCCAAAATACCTGTGGATCATTTCGATCAACACATCCCATTTCATATAAAGATAATATTCGGAATAACGGAATTGTGAAGACTGTAACATAGAAGAAACAGCAGTTATAAAAATCTACACAAACTGACGTACATCTCCAGACACTAGATCATTGTCTTGTACCATCGTCTGAAATATGTATGTCTGCTAGTTTAGTTTTTACGTGGCGTTTCGAAACAAAACGTTCTTATGAATTTGTGTTTGCTTACTCAAAGCCAGCCAGTGACTTAGTTGTTTCATGTACGATCGATATGTAGGGAATACGAAAGATTTCAACCCAGTGCCACTGATTAAAAATAAAGCTGATGCTTCCGTATATACTCAGATTTATTAGGGAAAAAATGCAATCTACAACGACCGAAAAATATATTGTACGCATTATTTTCGTATTATTAACAAAATAAGAATGATCATGAGGCAGAATCAGAAAAACCAATCATATATCTCTAACTATTCATTATTTGAAGCTCTTCTTGTTCACTCGCCTCCACCCTGCCCCATGCTACATGTGATACAAATTTTCCAAACTGTTCTCTGAGTCTTTCCCCATCTTTTGGTATGTTAGAAAAAAAGTGGAGTATTTTATGCAGGTCATCTGCTATAAGTAACAGGTAATTTTGCATGTATTCGTCTTACGCAGAGAAACCGGGTCACGAATTGATGTGTCTGGTTTTTTGTGACAAATGATGCACATCTGCTGTTGGCCCAGGCCCAAAATAGGCGGCACTGCTCGATACCTACAAAAAGTGGCAGTAAGGAAAACTCACCAATTTTGTAGATCGTTGACGTGATTAAGATTATCAGGGTTATATACAAAAACAACTCCATGACACCCTTTGAAAATAGCCGGCCAACAAGTTTCATACCTATGAGGACCATCACAAATATAAATAGAGATTTACTTTTTATCTCCACTGGCATCCCATAACTCAACTTCAACTTTACTGGTTTTTCCTTTTATCTTGACTTTTTGTTCATATTCTAATATTCTACATTGTAAAGATTGGTTATTATAAGTAGTTAGCCAACCATTCAACAGGTGGGGAATGGACATACCTGACACCACTGGTTGGATGATATCCACCAGTAACCTGATCTACAGTTTCTGAAAGATAATTGCAGATATATGATTTGCCACACTGAAATATCGAAAATCAGAAAATTCATTATAAATGATAACCTCATTTGGACCGACCACAACCAGCTTGAGGTGATTCATGATTATTAAAACATAATTTTCAACTATATTAACAAATATTTGTCGTGATCCAAAGTTGATATCTTTTTCAAAAAGTTACATGTCAGTCACTGCAAAGTTCCATTTGTTATTGTCATGACAACGACCTAAGCTGCTTTGCGACAATTTGAATGCATGAAAGTAAAGTATTTTTGAAATGTCTTATGAGGACAATTCTAAAAACTTCATAGAAGAACTACCCACGAAATCAAATGATGGTCTGATAATTTTAGATATACATTGTTTACAGACGAATCAGATGAATTCCTTATCGCCAGGCCAAATTGTATTCACGAACCTCCCATTGCTTCAGACGGGATAGAGAGCAATAAAACTGGTCACAACAAGGATATTAAAGACGATTCGTCACCAGGAGGCTTTTTTTCAGCAATCGATGCGGTAGAGAAGCTAGGATATGAAGGAAAGTTGAGCAGTGTTCAAATCGCTCAAATGAAGCATCGTTTCTTCAAACTTAGTGGCCTTCTTTCTAAGTATGTGCATTCATTGAAGTTTCTAGATTGCGTAAAGCGCACGGCTGTTGGCCTTCGCTATAGACAATTGATGTATGACCAGGTTGCTACTTGTTATCAACTTCGTGTCTAAAATCAAAACCCACTAAAAATTGTTTGCTCGGAGCAATAAGGCTTTCAATAAAGGTTTGTAGTAGGTTTTAAGAGTGTCAACAAATACATCTTATCACAGACATCAACCGCCTCCTTGTCTTTGACCTACAGAGAGGTATACCCTGGTAACTGGCACGTAGTCTTCCTGTAGTGGTGATCATAGTCAATCGCGACTCGATACCAACTACGTGCTGATCAAGTTTTATTAACGAAAATATAATTTTAAATGATATGCATTTATCAGCTATCTACATAAATCTTAGTGAACCGAGCTCCTTCCTACAATCTACCACAGATTGATTTTTTATAGTTAGAGTAGGGTATTCAAGATTTAAATACTCCACTCATTTTTATTCAGTCGTTACTTCTGTACCTGTTCTTGCAGGAAAATCTAGTTCAGTTTTGAATATATGAGATAACAGCGTAAGATTTCTGTTCAGTCAATGGTCATCAGACAAGTAATTTGTTCCGAGCCTATAAACTTTTGGGTCATTATGTTTCTGGACAACAGGTAGCTCACTGTTACTCACTACATGTGTATCTTCACTTTGGTGATTAATATGCACAGTAATACGCTTGCATGCATTCAAATTTTAAACCATCTAGATAATTTCTTCAGGTTATTTTGAAGCTATAAACTCCTACATTCGTTTTTTATTGCCCTCTGTATCTTGATAACATTGGTTAATAACAAAACCGGTGGTGATAAGAAACTAATAAGTTTATTTGCATACAGAAGAAACAGCACTTTCAACGCGCAGTTTTCCAGCTAGACAACTTGGAGTTAATGCGTAAGCTTTTATGATGCACAATTAGGAAATCATTTATGCATACTTATAAGTAAGTTGCCCCCAATCCCAAAATCGCCTAATTAAGGTAATAGCCCACTGGATGTAGCTTTATTGAAGGCTTTAATGAAGCCAACGAAGACTATATCTATATGTGGCTTTTGAATTTTAAGAGCACATCAACTTTCATGTCACTTCAACACGTTATTGATACACCAATAATCCGTTTTAAAGCCATTCTGTTTTTCAGGAAGAAATGAGGTTTTCGTCAACAAACTTAAAGAACTCCTTCCAAATAACATTTTATGGAATAATAACAACCACGCTGGTTAGGTTTTCAGGTCAATAGTAACCAGGTTTTTGTATCATGCTTGTTTTGAAAACAGAACTTACTATGATGTTGTTTCAGCCTTTTAGAAATCTACCTTGGGTTACTGATAAACTAAATACATATTTAAAGAATTCGGTATAAAATATTCTAGCTCCTTTTGCAATCTAAGATGTGTTCACGGAGTCCCATAAATTTACCCTGTTCAAGCTTGTTTAACAGACCAAAGGCGTCTAGTTCTTTAATGGTAACAATGTTCAGAGTGTTTACTCTTTATGAGTCGAATGGGAGGCGACGCTACGGTATATATATTGCTAAAGTAATTTGAGAATACCTAAGCTTTACCATATGGTCTTCTACTAGTAATGCATTACTGCTGTCCCCCTCCATAATGCCGAGGTACTGTCTGTTCTCTTATTCCTCTGATGTATGCACAAATATAAGCCATTAGTTTATTCTATAAACTCCTTCGCCAGATTTGCCCCATACAACCTTCTGGACATTCACTGGGACAAGATATAGACAGTTTTGGCTCTCTGATATTGAGAATGTATTTTATCGGTGCTTTGCAACCCAAATTTATCCCAAATCCATCTACTTTCGCGGAAAAGGATAAGAACCTCCTCACTGAACTATGATGAGGAATTTTTTGGATTCTTTAGTGAAGCCTAAAGAATGGGCGTTGCTGTAACTTTTATAAACTGATTTTTGAGTACCTACCATGCATTTTCAATTGATGACTCTGCTAGTTTTTATAAGAATTCTAAAAAACCCTTTGATATAATTGAGTTACGAATATGCAGTTTTCTTTTTCTGTTCAACGGAAACGAACTTGTTGATAACCATAAGTTTGTTGGGTTGGCGCAAACAATAATCTGAATCTTTAAATGATGACTGAATGTTTTGTATTTGAGTTAGCCACCGTATATGTTTAGCCTTCTAAACATGAGGTTACTTTCCAGGTAAACATGTACTCATACTTATCTTTGTATAATTTTTCGGCCAACTAACTTGATGTTTTTGCCGTTTTATCTGTTCACAAAATATTTTATTTCGCACTCTCCCAGATTACATCTAGGTTTACTGATTTGCGTTGATACTTGGAAAAAAACATTCTTTCAGAGATGACTAATTGCTTTGTTCCGATTTAGGTCTGTTGATAAGTATACATCGCTGACTCAGTTAAAGAACCAACTCCTGAGTGTCTTTATTCTTTATAGGATTCAAAGTTTCTTTTTAACTAACATTTATGTCTATGTTAGCTTATATCATTTTTTGTATATTTGCTTCTCAAATAATGAAACAAACAGAATAAGAGATAACGAATTCAATTTGCTTCAGTTGTCTAAAAAAATGTCCATTCAACTGGATAGTTTAAACGAATCATTATCAAAAGCTGACAATTATCCTGAAGGTTATAATACAAAAGCAGATAAACTGCGCGAACAACTCTTGAATGCAAATAATCGTCTATTGCAAATTGAAGAAAGAAATGATGAATTAAGTTATACCATAGAAAGCTTGAAAGACGAAAAACGTATGCTACAAAATGAATATAATCGTATGCCTAAAGAAGAGGTAATTGAATGATTTCATTTGAGATGTGGTAAATTTTGATCATAAGATATATACTAACAAGTGGATGATAACTCAGAAAACACAGGTTCATCAGGAATTAATTATACTCAATGTAATGATTAACTACAATCGTTAGTAAAACATTAAAACAATCCAACCAACTGTTAACATTAAGGTACATTTACGATAAGATGAAAGTAGGACTATAGGACATCAGAAAAGTCACTATAATAAAGTGAAATAATTTAACACGATTTACTAACTTTGATAAAATGAGAAAGAATGTTACCACTAATCGAAGAATTATAATCATGGCTTTCAATAATATGTTTGACATTTCTGGTGTGAACTATGGTAATTTAAATGTCACAGGTTGGAGCATATAGATCATTCGTTTGGTAATTTTAGTGTTATTGACCATTTAGAATGCTCAAATGATACATGTATGTCATTTTGTGGGCTGTAAAACTTGAAAATTCATTATTATCTTTATTTACTAAAACATAGACGTATTACACTGACTTTTTAGGACCAACAAACGGTGCTCCTCAGAAGATTAGTAATTAGATGTTCAACTATTTTCTGGGAGAATTACGGAAATCTATTAGAAAATTATATACAGTCTACAGTTTACTAGTGAAGAGTAATTAAACACTATTTACTGTGATCGTATTAAAAACGTGAATAGGTCCGTTTGTTCACGTAATCTATAGTTTGAATTAAAAGATTGTTGATAAGTCAGGTAATTAAAGCAGATATTACATATTGAGTTTGGCTCATAACATGATAGTCACGTTTATGTCTTATTATTATAGAGTAGAGTACAAGATAAATAAATAGAGATTTTCATTAGAGACATGGTAGTCTTTTTTCGATCACACTAATATTTTGCACTTGAGCCAAGCCTTCCGTCATTTAGTTAATAAAAGATGATGGATGTAAGAGAACCGTAACATATAATCAGTTTGTCGTGATATTATCATTTTAGCTGTCAACATAGTGTGTGAAACTTTAAGTGACTTACATATGTACAGTAGAATTGTTGTACCAATATTTCGTCTTCTTTGGTTGATGCAAAGCTTCTCTTCATCAAAAATGTTACTTCCGTTCTATGACATGTAGGGCTAAGTGAAGGGAAAATGAAAATTGTTAATTACTCACTGTTTATATCATTTTGAATTCTAGGGAAAATATGGGTTGTACACTATCCACTTTATTTTTCGTATATTTTGTATTTTGTAAGAAATAACATAGTTAAGTGTCAAATGACTCTATTTGGTTTTCAGTAAGAAAATTCGTAAATAGTATGCAATCAACTTTCATAAAAATATAGCAGAACAATTTAAACAAAGAAACGTTTATAAAACTAATTGATTACTGAAATCTAACCAAATCCCATATAAGTAAATAGAAAACCCGTGAAACAACATAATTCATAAAACTATTCAATGTACATTTTGTTCTTAACTAATAGTATTTGGTGTTTTATAAATAAAAACCATGATTAAAAGACTAAAACCTAAAAATATTTCTCTGTTTGAATGATTTACTAAAATCTTACGAATAAGTTAATGAAATTCCACCAAATCCATTGTACCTTAGCTTATTAAAAACTCAAACTATCCTTTTTGATTATTGCATTGTAGAGGCAGTTGTATCTCATTGTGATCGTAAACTGATCAGTGTCAGACCACCACTGAAAAAACTAAAAGCACTAGGCGGTCGTTTCGTTTTAGTGTGAAACTCCACAACATTACGCATCCAAAATCTATGATCTTTATCAATAAATTTTCAATTTGACTAAGCTTTTGAATAATGTGTTGTCAGCTATCTGTGTTTATTTATTTTTAATAATTTTGTCGAAAACAGGATGTTATCAACCTGCGAAAACAATTAGAAAAATCTGTTAGTGAAGTGAAAAGCGAGATGAATAAACGATCTGGAGAAACTCGACAATTAACACAAACATTACAAGATACAAAGGAGATGTTAGGACAAATAAATAAATTGAAGAATGATGCCGAAGAACAATGTCAAAATTTGGTGGTTAGGATTGCATCATTACATTTTCTTTCGTCTATAAAAAACTACTAAACTTATCATGAATTTTTTTCATAAAACTGTTTAAATACTTCTCAACTCATAGTTATCAATGATAAGTATTCATTTTTTATATAGCAGAATTAATGCGGGCTTAAATTAACAATTATCTGTATGCAGAATAAAAATCGTCATTAGTCATAACATAACTTTAGATATTAATTTTTTGTCATGAGCAAAACTCAGGGGCTCAAGTCAATGGTTTTGGTGTGATGCGTTCCCAAAGTTCGGTAACTTAACCTTGTATTTATCAAAACCGTCACTGAAGCAGTCTTCTTATATTAACATATTATGTAAAGAAACCAAATATGTTTCAGAATAGTTAATTGGATCCACAAGGTTCCATCCTTTTTTTATCTGTTTCGGTTTATACAACGGATTATTACTATTCATCATTACATATAGAATACGGCTTTAAATCGCTTATCGACTTCTTAAAATACAGTACTCTCTGAGTAACAATGTTGTTAATGCTTAAGAGCGACGGGATGCTTTCTAACAATAAAACACATTCATAACACTATACGTTTCATATGGTTTCGATCAAAACCCAGGTATACTAGATGAACGTACATATGATTACACTTTCTCGTACCATTATTCCTTTAACGAAATATGTTATTTCAAAAATTTGTGAGGTTTTGTAAGCAAGACATTTGTAATATTTTAAAACCCTTTTTAGCCACTACAATCGTACGTGGAAACAAAGAACAATAAATGAAAAACTAATTTATTATGGTCTTTGAGCAAAGTTAAAAGTTTAGTGCTGCTGTCTATTTTTAAAATATCTTAGACTATTGAAAGTCAAGAATAATGATAAGGTGAGGAGAAACGATTAAAGCTATGTATCTGTAGTATGTGTTGTCTACAGATGTATGTATGTATAGTTCAAATGATTATAGCAAACTTTCACATTTAATTATTTAATGACCAATATTTTAAGTTGATAACATTTGGGAATAATTAGGCCTGTTGATAAAGTATCTTGTTAATGTATTGTTTATTTTAGTCAGAAAGCGGAGAAATTCAGTCACAGCTATTACAAACAATGAAAGAAACTGATAAGTTACAAAAACAAAAGGAGTATGTCATTCATTTTACTTGTTTAATTGTCGTTTAAAATGATTGGTCTTAAAATTCAACCTTTTATCACTAAACGTATTAATATTTAGACGTATGAATCAGTAACAAGAAAATAACTGTTGAGTTTTTTTCAGAAAAACTACAAAATCAATAGCGTTTTCTTTATATCATGTAAAACGCGAAGTAGATGTACACTCATAGAGTCCTTAAGGTGTTTAAAATGACAAAATATTGCTATCACACGAAAAAAAAGATAGTTTTTAAACATATCAGATGGTGCATTGTTTCTGTGCTGATTGTACCTAAAACATAAATAAGACATATTCCTAAATCCTAATTCTAAATAATCAACTCTAAATCTAACAAAAATACAAACCCTAATCCCAACTGTAAATCCTAACTCACAACAATACGTGGATTCCTTAAAATCTATTACGGTTTTTTTACATCTATAAAAATGAATTTAGATATAGTACGTTTTGTTTACAGACAGAACATCATTTATAAGGCTTCAACAAATCAATTAATTACGTGAAATGTGTATAATACTTAACTTTTTCATAACCTACTCATTTACAAAAGTAGTTTCTTGACTAGCTCACAGTCGGCTGGAATTCTCCGAGGTTGTTTTAAACTTATTCCAATAACAAACTTTTACCTTTTTGGTCTCTGTTCACTTGTCGTAAAGGTATTTATACAATATTAAGTTTCTTTTTAGAGATAACAAAAATAATATAAATGAAGATATTATACAAATAATGACGTACTTAGTTAAGACAACTGAACATGTTTTCCTAATTTCGATTATTTCAGTTGAGAATAAAACACAAATAGATAATCTCATCTAATTAAGTTTTCATAGAAAGGAAAATCTAAATACACTTGTTTGAAAAGCATACAACACTTGAATTGTTCAACTGAATTGCTCTGGTCACAAAAAGATAGAGGGAAATAACATTCGTATAGTTCAATTTAAATTTTACTGAGTAACACGGTATTGGTTTACCTAACATGCTGATGTCAGTTAGCAATAACCTTAGGTCTATAGATATCTGGATACATTCTGAAGCTGCTTCAAGTCAGGAAAAATTGAACAAAATATTGCTTCGTTTTGATTCGTTGAGATGTTTCAACTTGAAATCATCAAATCAGTTCGAAGTACTAGGTAAATATCCTGTTGTTTAACATTCATTTTAACGTTCTCAGTCCCACATATGGTCAGTTAAGTCTGGAATATGTCATTTAAATTGTTCATGAAAAAAGTGCTGGTCCTCATGGGATGTGATCCCACATTTCATTTCCCCTTCTTTCGAATATTTTTATTGATGATTGATATACATGTAATTTTGTTTCCTTTTAAGCGAAGTAGAACGTCTAAAAACTGAAACGTCAGATGAACAGTTGAAGTTACAAGATGAAATGAAAACATTAGAATCACTTCGTTTACAACTTGAATTAGAAAGTGTGAAACTACAAAAGTAAATATGTGTCCGTATTTAAAATTTGATTTTATTAATTGTTAAATCCTAGCGAAGATTGAATTACCAGTAACTTCTGAGACCTCTTAATGGACTAATATTATCAATGTATTCTTATGGTATAACCATTCAGTAATTATAGGTGTCATTACCAAGGTTTGATTTGATAATCTCTTCTCTGAAGAAGTGACTTACACTAAGTCACGAAACGTCAGAAAATCCAATTTTCTACTCATTGGGATATTACAAATATATTATTTTTATTTACATTCAGTAATTAGATTATGTAAATATGTATTGCCCTTAATATAAGCTTTGTTTTGATCTATAGATTATTATTATACAATTTACTGTTACTAAATTATGTTCAGTTTATTGACTGCCATCTCCCACGTTCACAACCACTTTTTGGCTTTAATGTGTATAAATGTTATTCCTATTTTATGGTGCGATGCGGTCTGTTTGGCTAGTATATAAACCCCGTATGTCTGTGATAAATGATTCGCATAGTGGAAGCTGGTATTGGTGTTTGGATTAAGCTGGACGGGCTAGGTGAGCAAAGGATCAATAAGGACGCTAGGCTGATCAGACTGGTCGAACGTTATTGGTTAGTACAGTACAAGAGTGGATAAGTCGTATTTCGATTGGCAAATAAATTAGGTGATAACTAGCCGGACACAAAGTCACAACATTAATGCTAAGCGGTATTTGTGGTTTCATGAAAACTGATTCATTTTTCTTAAATTTTGTCAATCAATTTTACTTATTTGTTATTAAGTTTGGTTATACTACCCTTGACACCATATTAGAGGCAGTTTTATTTCGGAACAATTCACTTTAAAAAAAACAATAATAATTGAGAATAATTGGAGATGGAGCATAAATTATGTTCGCATATAGATCACGCTATGGAAAATATAATCGAGGTTAATCACACATCGAGTGTGTTTTTGAAGTTCACGTTCCATAAGCTGTTAGAAGCCCTGATCCATAGAACGTCCTTAGATTTTCGGAGGCGTTTATTTACAATGAGTTGCTATTCAGTACAATTATTCTGTCACTCTCAACATTTACGTTTTATTGGAGACTTTATTTGTGGATGAACTTGTAATGACATATTTGGAACGTACTACTTTTAATCATTAGATATTCTTCTGGCTCACCAAATTATCATGAAAGAATCGTTCATTTATTAAACCGAAAACGCATTTTAAGCAACTAACGACAGTTGAGGAAATCGCTCAGGATATGGAGAATGTTGTAGGTCATCCTTATGTTTAAAAATAGAATAATAATGAAGTTAAAAATGATATGAGTGGCCGAACTATTTCGTTAACTATATGTAACTTGGAGAATTTCAAAAAACATACCATTGAATATTTACATCGTCTTATTTCAAGACTCAGCATCCCTGTTTACTGATAGTCACATTGGATCAAATACGAGAATTTCGAGCCCTAAGGAGGGTACAATATCAGTTATTCACTCATTACTATTCACATATATTTCTTAAATTTATCTTATTTTCTAAATTAACTTATCAAAGTCTCCCTAAAAAAAGGGAATAATCAACTGTGATTCAGCTTAGAAGCATGAAAGGAACACATTTTTCAGGAGACAATATTATCACATAAAATACTTGGGGTTAGCTTGTTTTTTCTGTGTATTTCTTGGAAATGGTCTCCACTCATAAAGACTAAGTGTATAAAAAATATTATAAATTATTTTCTATTTTTATAGACTTCCAAATATTTTCTGATTATGTAATCATGAACAAACACACTTGATAACTTATTCAGTAATTTGAGGATCGGATAATAATTAAGACATCAACTGTTATTCAGTTATACATAAGTAGGATTTATATAAATTTTACTGCTCTAATACAATCCATATGAATTATCTTTATTCTACTGTAGTCAGTCTACTAAAAAACAGAAGAAACTGTATGATTTACAATCGCAACATGAAGCTGTAAATATGCATGTTTGCCAATTAGAACAGAAAAATACAGAAACGACGCAGCAAAAGTAAATTAAAATTACTTTCATGGTAACATTGGAAATGTAATTATAATGTATATTTTTATGCAGTTATCTACATTGTTATACTAGGTGGTTGAATATTAGCAGTAGAAGAGTCTGAATCCATGTTTTGTGTTAGTTGGCCGTCATTGAAAAGTGTACCTGTAATTTTAGAGAACTTATATTGCATGTGAGATTTAAACCTACAAGGCTTATTTTTATGGTCACAAACTTTAAGACTGAGATATTTGTGTCCAATTTGATCTTTTGTAGGACTGTACAACACAATATATGTGACGTTGAACCGCTTAGATTAATAGACTTATTCAACCCAAAATCACTTAATTGAACCGATGATAGAGAAATTATAAACAAAAATCATGTTATTTCTTAATTCTTCAAGCAGCCTAAATGTAATTATTTCGATAGCAGTTTATTAAAAGTCAAGTACTGGGATATTTTTTGTTTTTCTATGGTAAAGTTACGCGCTTGGTGAACAGTCCACTATTAATCATTCATATCATTCAAACTATATGAAGTGTTTGTTAGATGTCTTGAAATATAACTATCGGCTTTAGCTATTATAAGATTAAAATATTCCAGTGAAATCCCAGTATTGTTGTGGTTGGAAAGTCTTTATATGCATTCCCAAGTCAACATATATTTTTCGGATATTGAACCAAGAAACGTAACAAGAACGAAATAGTTGTACGAAATCACGTTATGCACAACAGGATATGCATATCATATTGACTTCTGTTATTTGAAAGCTACTAAAAAAGATAAACTGCTGATAAAAACAGACAAATGTTTTAAAGCTTTCCACTAGTCAACTTTGAACATGAAAAATTGTTTTCTCAAACTTCATTAGTACCGCTAATGAAGACTGAATATAAAATTAAAACAGAATAGATTGTTTTTAAATTCCCATTTCTTATTTTTTTGTGTTTTTAAATAGAACAGAAGCAGATTGAAAATGAACCATTTAAAACAAGAACTTTCACAGTTGAAAGATCATATCAATCAACAAACACGTTTACGTGAAGCATTTATACGTAAAGTTCGTAAAGCTGATAATATACTGCAAACATTAAAAGAATCTGTTAAGTTTACAATGAAAACATGTTCTGAAAAGCACATGAATTGTTTGGCTATGAAACAAACTGGTCAAGATACTCAATTATTAAAGAAACGTGCTCAATTAATCCATGATATAAAGAAGCTTAAAGAAATGTTGCTAAACCAAGTAAGTTCTAAAATAAAATCCAGACAATGAATCACCGTATATATCACACCAGAATTTTAGCCTAGTTGGTTTAATTCCATTACGATTATCTCATAGAACGGAATACATTGGAAGACGACATAAAACCGGTCAATTATCTTCTGGTTTCGAATGTTTTTTCATCTGGTCCATCTTGAGTACTGTTATCTTTTGGAAAGTAATAGATCAGTGGTCTAAATCTTTTTTCAAAAGCTTTGTGAATACACTGAAAATTTGTATGTCTTATGGGTGCTTACTTAAATTTTCATTGCAAATTACATTTCATACTGCTTGATCCTTTCTAATAGGGGATTATTAGCACAGTTTGACACTTACTCATAAATTGCCACTGTGTAGAGCATAAACCAATGTCCATGATCAGTCTATATATTGTATACATTATCACCTAATTGCTATTGCTAGTAGCTAAATTTTTATTGAATTTGTTGTAAAAGAGTTCACTGTAAAATAATTTTGGCGAATCTACAAGTTCATGATGTAGTGGTTGTTTGAATCTTCCGTTGATTTTATGAACTTCATTCGATCAGTCTCTTTTAACGTTTGTAAATCCTTTTCGAAATGCATTGATATTACCATTTATTTAAAAGCATTTTAAACAGAGATGCATGGTGGCTAGCAGAAGAATCCAGGACACGAGTTTCGTCCTACGTGGGACTCGTCATCCAGATTTAGCTGCATCTCATAGCCGATGTTTAGTCCAGGCTTAGAACCTAGCACATGTGGTATCAAACGCCCAACTTGTAATCCGCTTAGTTACTGAGTCAAGATAACCACTGGCTTGTGCGACAAAGTGAACTTTAATTCATTTCGAACTAGTTGCTGGATTGTTACGTTGATAATATGGACTGAATAAAATGGGGTTCCGGTTTGCAGATAACTGTTGGAACGGAGGTTCATCCAGCTGATGAGTCTCGAAAAGGACGAAAGGAGTGTCTTTAATTTCACTGCTAGCCACTGTCAAGTTGTGGTTACTCTACAAGTTATTTGAAATATTCTACTCTTCAGTTCAATTATGAGTGTTTAAATGAAAATCATGTTTATCGATAGCAAAACACGTAACTTAAATAAGCCAACCAATCGGTCTTAATACATCTTTTAGTGTTTTATAGAAAATACAAAGAACAAATTCTAAAGTTTATAGACGCTTAAGTATTAAGAAATTCAAACCTTCTTTGTGTATAGAAAACAATTTATCATAACTGTTATATTCTTATGCCCTGTTAATTATCACTTGGAAAAATCTCCAATTAGAACGCCAACTTATATAGCCTTGGCACTGTGCCAAACCAATGACAGCCTAGAGTTCTTATCGGTTCTTCTCGCCTAGGCCTGTTCGTTTGAGTTCAGAACACCAATATCAGCTTCCACTGCATGAATCATATATTTTAGACATACGCAGTTTATATACAAGCAATAAGACCTCATCGTACCATTAAATAGAAAATAACGATCATACAAGATCAAGCCAAAAGTGGCTATGAGTGTGAGAGACTGTAACTAGTAAATTGGGAATAACTTAAGAATAGGAAATCGTATAAATCAAATGGAAGGTTATAATAAAGGGAATATGAATATACATATAATACAGTTACCTAATGGTTATCCATTAGGAATATATGTAATAATAGTCCATGAATAATTGCCTGCAGTCGCCATTTATTTATTCTTCGTTAGGATATAACAATAACCGCGAATCCGGTCCGATAATCTTTAATTCATCTCCTGACCCGTAGGGCGGTATGACTTCTTTTTCTTTCCGTTTTACATAATTTTTCCTCCTCTTTACTTACAGTTGTCACTTTATATTTTCTTTACTTTTTATTTGATCAACATCTATTAGTCTTCATATATTAACTGTTTTCATAAGCACATATTACATCAGATTGTGCGAAATGTATGGACTAACACATAGAATTTTTCAGATCAATCCTGTTTTTTCATTACACTATCACCACTATCATGAACTTCTATAGGTTACTTAAATGTGTTACTGAGTAGTATATGTGTTATCAAACATTAGATAAGAGAATCACTAGATCTCACAAATCAAATTGTAGTAATGTGAACAATGAATGGAAAATTCTATTTATTTTAATTAATTTATCAGTAATTAGGCTGGTTTGTTAATAATTCTGCTAAGTGATTAGATATTAGAATTGCAATTGTATTAAATGAGTTTCTGAATAAAAAGACATTTTAAAGTTCAAATACGATTAGGCGTTCGATTTTTAAAGATATACCTGACAATGTAAATGAATGAATTAAGGAGTTTTATTAGGAGACTTATTTTTTTAATTTATTTTTCGCCTTTCTTTTTGATATCTTAGTGTCAACTTACTGAGCTTGAACAAACTAAACTACGTCAAAGTTTACAGCAAGTAGATCAAATGAATTATGATTTGGCTAATTTGCGTATTGAACTTGTAGAATTGACACGTTTAGTTACTATTAAATCAGATGAGAGAGAACAGAAATCAAGAGATTTTTTAATTGCTCAATCACGATACACTCGTATACAAGATGATATTAAGTCAAAACAACTGCAAATAAATGAATATGATAAATCACTGAATAGTACACAGGTATTTGTAGGAATTGGCAATTTTTTTACTGTACATATTGTATTCTGGTCTAAATTATGAAGTGTTTACCAAATTTTGATTTTAACAAAGCTTTGTTATTCACCTAAATATGCGTTATCCAAGGGCTACACTTATTTTCTTATCATGAAATATTCACGGACTCCAAGAGATAATGTTATGATTGCGATATTCCAATAGCTCAAAAACCGTTTAAAGACATTAGGTAGTGTAATGTCACTTCACTTGTATTTGGGACTCCTTAGATGTGGGAACTCTCAATCTCTAAACAAAATGAACTGATGGATATCAGATGAATAACATTGATTCGAACACGTTTATACCAAGACACTAGACTGAAATGAAATTATTCGGAGTTTCGCGAAAGGTCTAAACAACATCCAATTCAATTAACGTGCTTGCACCTCACATCTAGTAAACTTGACTCATCTAGTCATGGTCTCTCAAATATTTCGTAAATATTTCTTCCGTTCGTCAATTCACATTTTCATGTATGTGGATTAGCAATGGATCTAACAAATATTTATAGCCCATAGTTATTTGAACTTTTTCTAGTATATAACTTGTTAAATCGGCCGGATGACCTAGAAAAAATGATTCGGTCACACATAAAATCCCAATTAGAACACTAGGCTTGTCTATAAAAAGCGGTACTAGAACAAATGACAGCAAAATAAATACATTTTAAAAACCATAATTATTAAGTAACCGAAAGTGTTGAAATGCATCGAAGTACACGTAATTGAGAAATGCTACTTGAAATATTTATCTAAGAATAATTTACCAAAATCATCGGAAAATCTAAGTAGTGGTTCAAATTCAACACCGACAGATAACAAACATGTGTACTGAATATGGGAATACTTACAAATAAACAAGTGTTCAATGAAGGCATAGGAATGAAGTTAACTTATAAAGAATGTTAAAACAATACAATTATATTATTAAATGCATTGAATGTTGCGAATTCATGTGTCACATAACGAAGGGACTATAAGCTTTACACTCAAAAATCATTGATAACTGTTATAACGCTTGGTTTTACTTCGTCTAATGTTATAACGGTTGGGTTTTCACGTTTACACGTGTGGGACTTTAATTTACCTTAGACGAATATCTACACAAGATTCCCTCCCAGTGTCTATTCTACAGGACTTCAACAGAACCCAGATCACGAACACGTGATTAGCCTGACTAAAACGTAATTATGTTTTCACACCAAAACCTGACACAATCCAACAACAATGAACAATCAATAATAAGTGATAATTATAATAAGGATAGGGGAATATATAACTCATTTGACACCTGTCAGACTATCTCCGTGTCTGACTGAGCATACAACCGATCAATATCATTCTCGCCCACACATCAATAATATGTGCAAGTAACCTAGTATCTGCTCAAAGAAGAGTCAACCTACCATAAAATGAAGGTGAGAAAATCAAGTAGAATTGGCATATTTGAAATCTTTATTTCTGTAATACTTTTTGAAAAGCGTATAAAATCGATTAAATGATTCATTGTAGAAAGATTCTCATTAATAGGTTACCATATTTGCAGTAGAAGAGCAGTAAAAATAAACAATAATAGAAATTGAAGAAAAAAAATTATACGTTTGCAAGAACTAGATAAATAATATGCTGTTTACGCTCAGTGGCTGGCTATTGATATATATTTTCAAGTCGATAGATTTTGTTAGATAGTGGATACACTACTGCTTAACCTACTTTCAACCTTTCTATTAGGTTATACTCTTGAAAGAGGCTATTATTTTATTTACAGTAGATAAATGAAATCATCGACACATAACTGTAACACTAGTTATTTAGTCAGTTTATTAGTATAGAATTGTAGCTGACCTTGAATCTAGGAAAGTACTTGAATGCAGTTCATTTAATGAGCTGATAAATACTTTTTTACGATAATCTATGTAAAACATAAATCCTGTCACTAATGTACATCAATCCATGTCGACACATATCTCATCACCACAGTCAACGATTCAATTCAAAGAATGAAAGAAGATGAAAATTAGTCAGTATAATGAAAAAAACTATGCATATAAGTTTAATTCGAAAAGATCAAACAAAAAGTATTATGAGTATTAAAATGAAGATAGAAATGGAGATACTATAGATTTATATCACTGAAAATGATAGTAGGTTATCCTATAGTGTCTAGTATTATATCAAGCCTTTGTCGGTTATTCTGGCTTCTAGATAGATCGATTTAATCATACTTCTTGTGCCACATTTTTACCTTGTTCATTATTTGCTTATTAACCTTGACCGCTTTTATATTAGTGCATGCGTATGTAGAGCTTATCCTACTCATCACATGCCTGTAGCTTATTTTTGCCTGACCGTAGATATGAAATCTCTCATTATCAAAATGTGTTTGCTCACTCACCTTCTCCGCTTTCCTTTAATTCCCCATTTTTCATTTTGAATATCTGTGCATATTCAAAATTCATTTTCGTATTTGACATATTTTATTCTGTTATTCATTAACTATGGTAGTCGGGATGTTTATTTCGATAACATTATCGTACGATCTAATTGAAGTCGGACTAAGGGGGCAACAAAAATTCTATAGAAATATAAAAAACGGTGTATTATTTATTCATTCTATTTAAAATCTCTTATTAACAATAATAACAATCCCTTTTATACTAAGTTAATATAAATTTTCTATAAAACTATATTTTATTCAGAAAAAATTAAAAGATTTCGCTCATTTATATGAAGCAATTAAAGAAGAACGTAATAATTGTTTAAGTTCTATTCAATTATCAAATCAACATATACAAGAATTAAGTGAAAAACTACGTATATCTGCAAATGAAATAGACATTTTAAAGAACAATTTAGTTCACAAAGAAGAACTAACAAATAAACAACGAAAAAATATTGAAAAAGTTATTGCAGCTCGTGATCTGTTACGTAATGAATTTTCGAAATTGGTATGTTTTTTTTAAATATGTTTCTAAGCTGTACATGTATGCATTTTATGTGATTTAAGTCTCATTTGTTTTTTAACTACTCATTATTTTTGTGGAGTTACAATGCAGAGATTTAATAAATTGATTTCCATCCAATCGGTGTCAATTTTAAAACTATCTTTCTTTAGTTCAGTCCAAGAAGGAGGTTGGTGCCTCATTACTCATACGTATTAAATTCTGAACAAAACCTGTTGACTACTGGATTGGATTACGAAATTTCGATCAGTAACCTGGTTGTAGTGTTGATCTTGGGTAATAATTAAGATCCTGGAGTATGTACTTGAAGTAGATTACAAGAGGTGATTTCTGTTTATGAATTGAACCTGTTCTTGCCAAAAATAACATCTGCTTAATAATAATAAATGTTTTTTGTCTATAGTATGGAGTGATTTAGAATAGCCATTAAAAACAGAAAGTACTGGGGAACCATTTCGTCCTAATTTAAGACACTAGAACTTTGCATCCACAAAACTACTAGCGTTCAAATCCAAAATCTTCAGGCTCCGTGATAGGTATTTAATTTTTATATTAATAGGCTGTCATAAAATAGTTTGTGTTATCACATGCGGTCTCCGAAAACAGTTACTGAAACACAGACTTCCTATGTACTAGCCCTCAACCGGCAACTGAATGAGAAGACTAAAAGTGCCAAAGAAATTTTATTAGGCTAAATCATGTAAAATTCATAAGCACACATTTATATGTGTCTTCTCCTTAGAAAATCAAACTGTTTCTTCGTCAACCACATGCACTTATCATTAGGAGTTTTTTATTGATAGAATATGGCTTTTTCACTTGCAAACTTTTGACCGGCCCATTTTTTCAGTTTGCACATTTACTCTCAGTCAATTTACTATATTGTGTAATTATCATCCATTACCATTATTATTTACTTGCTTATTTTTTGATTATTCGTTTGTGTAGAGTTGTGCTATTAAAGATAATGAAGAGCAAAAGGAACGAATGAAACAATCGATCCATAGGCAAAATACAATAATTACACAAACAACGAAACAAATAGAAAACTTAAAAAATGCTATAGGTCATGTGATTAAAGTACGCAACTCTCAAGCCATTGAAATGGTTGAACGTAATGAAGAATTCTGTGTTCTACAGGTAAAAAATTTTGTATTCACTTGAGCTACAAGTATATAGTCAGAAGAAGAAAACATACTGTCTTTAGTAGGTTTTTATCAAATGTTCCTCGTTCATTGGTCGTTTAGTTACTCAGTCTGTTATCCTTAAATAGCTTTCAAGTACAGTTCACTTGACTGAATCGAGCAGATAAATTATAGTTGTCGATGTGAAAAATCAAATTCCACCACTCAAGACATCACTTTTTCGTCATTTTTTCATAAGTGGTTCCTTCCATTTAAAAATTGTAGCGTTGTCTGATTCAGATAGGAGTAATCTTTAATGGTATATTCTACATCTTCTAAAACAATCCTTTCTAGAAACGCTGTTTTTAGTAGACTTATCTTCAAGTGTTTCTTTGTTTTGGTCTAATATCATCTACAAAACACATTGAAGCACAAATTTAAGAAATGCTACATCCAAAACCCTTAACCTACGTATTTATGGTCATAAATAGAATGGACTTTTGTAAATAAGATCTCAATTTGTTTAACGTTACTCGAAATAAACTTTCTGCAAATCACAAATGTCTATTCGCAAAACCAATTCCTCACTTAAACCACGTATAAATTTGATAATACTATCATAGTTTCAGGTTTATTAATCCTATTGCGTAATTTTTTAGAAAGGATTCGGTAAGTGTTTAGGACAAAAGCATTAGTTATTATCCAAAACTTAGTTTATTTTGCAATATGTTGATTGAGGTGTAGAAAGATGTCGACTAAAACTTAAGTCTAGAAACAAGCACCAAACTTTATATGCTTAAATATCCTTCTGTTCTCAGTTTACTTGTACACTAGATGAAAGCAATTTTCTAAATAACTGATATACACCAATTTTACCAGAATATAGTTTATTTCTATTCGATCCGTAGTGTGATATCCTAGCGAAGATTACATTACTAGTAACTTCCGAGACCTAATAATGAACTAATATTATCTATATATTCTTATGGTATAATTATTCAGTAATTAGATTGTATATATTTATATTCACCTTATTATAAGCTTCATTTTGACTTATAATTTATTATCATACGATTTACTGTTCCTAAACTATACTCAGTTTATTAATTACTGTCTCGCACGTTCACAACCACTTTTTGGCTTATTTGTGTGTGAATGTCATTTTCTACTTCACAGTGTGTTGCGATCTGTTTGGTTGATATATAAACCCCGTATGTCTGTGATAAATGATTCGCATAGCGGAAGCTGGTATTGGTGTTTTGGACTAAGCTGGACGGGCTAGGTGTGCAAAGGATCAATAAGGACGCTAGGCTGCTCATACCGCTCGAACGTCATTGCTTTAGCACAGTATGAAGATTGTATAAGTCGTATTTCGATTGGTGGGTAAATCATGTGATAACGAGTCGAATTTAAGTCATAACACGTAGATCTTAACTTTTTAAAAACAAATTTTCTTATTAATTTTTGTTTTCTTTTAAAAACAAGGAAAAATTAAATCTACAAAATTCCACGCTTAATAAAGGTGAAATTGAAATGAATAAATTAGAAGACGAAATAAAAAGTTTACAATTAATCAAAAATGATTTAAAAAGAAAAAATGAATTATTGAAAAAAGAAGGTAAAGAAAAAGAAAAGTTACAAAATGAAATTCTGTCTAGTCAGTTACAGGTAATTTTATTGTTTTAGTTTTTTTTGGGAGGGGGGATAACGGTTCGATACATTTGATTTCTCTTATGGTTTTTGATTGTAATATTTCGTTTGTCATTGGTCAATTAAGTAATTTCATCATTTATAACTTATCCTAGAATATAATGTAATCATATTCTTTCTGGCTTTTGAAGTTAATCTTAATACAACACAAAAGCACTCGTAATTAATTGTTATGGGTTAATTAAATTAAGTGACATGTTACAAGTTTTAATATAATATAGTCACTATCAGTTTAGGGGTTGTAAAGGTTGTTAAGTTTTTCTGATTGAGATCATGAACCGATTGATGTTAGACCACCATTGAAAACCTGGAAGCACTGGACGGTTGTTTCGTCTTATTGTGGGACTCCTCAGCAGTGCGCATCCACGATCCTGCTCGCGGGACTCGAAGCCAGGACCTTCACTCACACGCGAACGCCTAACCTACTAGACCACTGAGCCGGCACACGCTCTGGGTTCGAATCCTGCAAGCAAGATCGTGGGTGCACACTGCTGAGGAGTCCCACAATAAGACGAAACGACCGTCCAGTGCCTCCAGGTTTTCAATGTTGTTCTAGCATCAATCGGTTAATGATATCAATCAAAAAATAATATAATCATATTTCACTTTGTCCTAATGTTGATAAAACACTAAAGCCGATGCAAAACAAATAGGATAATCTAGGTTTCAACATATAATTCACTGACTTGAGTAATTGCATTTCTTTACAACACAGATAGTAAGAACTAACAATGTGAGGTGGAATTGTCTCTAAGCTATCATACTCGATTCTTGGCCGCTGTACGTTAAGTTCGTTAGCCGATTAGTTTTAAAATGTCGTAGATCTCAGCCGGTAAGCCTAAATTTTGTTATCTATTGAATAATTAACTATTTGTTGCAGAGCTATTGAACATAAACAGTATACCATGTAGTAAACGTTTTCTGAGGCCTTTGATAACTAAACATATCTAGAGAATTTAAACTATTCTACGAAGAATTTGTAATTGAAATTTCAATCTGTAAAACAATTTATCTAAGCATATGATTGTACAGCTTTTTCATCTCGTCAGCTATACACTACTGGAGATTTTTGTGCAGAATGTACCGCATAATGAAATGAAACTAAATTTTATAGCTGTCTTGAAATTTCAAATCATGTTTAAATTCCAATGTTTTTGAAAATTTATTTATTTGTTTTGTTGTTAAGACATGATGGATCAGACTGTACATTAATAAGATATAAAATTATAGAACTATCCTACAAACAATTACGATTATTATGAATTTTGGTTAAACCCTTTTATTAACTTGCTTAACAGACAATGCTATTTGAACACTAACCATTCGCATATTTCTTTGTACTGTTATGATCACTAAATTAAATGACAGACCATAGTTAAGATGTTGGTTGCTTAAATATCACTCGATGATTCATTCTCCTCCCCATGTAAATAAGTACTCGAATCCTATCATTGACTTTTGCTTTACCTTGCTGTTCCCATATGTAATCTGACTATAAATTTGCATATGGTATTGCTCACATATACTTATTTGCCTTCCACTTGAAATTCATTCGATCTGCTTATAACTTGGTGATCTGCGCTATCCGCTAATAAACTGTAGTTGCCGCTTCTTATAGTCATCTGATTTCAAACACCATTGAGGTTTATATAATAACCTATTACGAGGGTGATTGGTTAACGAAGCAAAGCCACTACATAATATAATAATAATAATAATAATAATAATGACAGTAGTAAATTTTTCCGAGTTTAATTTTCTAAATTTTTTCCTCATTTTTTTTAGTTGGCTGTATGTCAAAATCGTGTAGCAAAATTAGAAAAAACCGCAATTTCACCGAAAGCATTTTTATTGGATAGTGAAACTGGTGTTCCAATTAAAAAAGATCTAATTAAATGTAAAATCAAATGAATAATACTAATGTAATTATATATGAAACACGTTTAAATGAATTAAATGGTAAAAATGAAGATATAGCTGAATTAAGATGTAAAATTGATAAACTTGAAATTCAAATATTTTCTCGTGAAAAAAAACTATTAGAATTAAATTTATTATTAGATGCAATTAAATGTTTAATAAACAAACTTGAAAAACAAGTGAATATGGGCAAGTAAGTTGAAAAGTTATAAAATTAAATGATTAATATTACTTATTTAGTTTACTATGTTATATAATATTCATCATTTTCTAAAGATTTTTCAACATACTTTAGGTAAATAAATTAATCTATTTGTAATAGTTCAATGAGTAGGAAAATTAAATTTTCTGATGTTTCGTAACTTAGTGTAGGTCACTTCTTTAAAGAATAAATAACAACAAGAATATTCTTGTTGTTCCATTGTATTATTTTAACTTGGATTAGTTTTGATTTGGTTATTTATTTATTCTCTGAAGAAGTGCATTACACTAAGTTACGAAACGTCAGATAATCTAATTTTTCTACTCATTGCGATATTGCAAATATATTATTAATTTATAGCAACCTACCCAATGCTCAATTTATTAGAAATTATCAAGTCAAGCTTTGGTAATGATACCTACATATTTTAGGGAGTTATTTATATTAATTGAGCTATGTGAAGAGATGAAATTAGTTAATTAATTTAAAGAATAGAACTAATACCATATAGTTCATTTGGAGATATTTTTTTCTCGTAAATGATTATCATAAAGTACAAATAACTTGCAGTTAAATGCTTCATGTTTTTGTGTATTTATAAATGTGAATGGTACGTATAAATCTTTGAGATGCGATCAACCTAATAAATCTTTTTCTTTGTTGAAGCACATTATATCTTTGGTCTACATTCAAAATATGTCATATTTTGTAATCCAGATTTTAAATAACTAAACGCAAGTATAATAACAACTTATTTTGTTGATAGCAGACATGAGAGTCGTTAAAATTGAGAATAAGATAGGTTTTCAATCATTATCTTTCTAGATAACTTAGCTCTCTTTTGATTTAGTTGATTAGTTGGACATATAATTAATTTAGTGGTAAAAATATATGTTTAAATTATCACCGTCTTTGCATTTAGTATGAGTTAAAAGCAATAAAATAAAAATCAAAGAAATTTTTATCGTAATACGGACATTATTAAAGACTTAAAACAAATATCATGTAGGAACAGATTAAACTGAGAAGAAAAGGGGTGTTATGTAATTCGGTGTTTAAAATTCATAATGAAAGAGTTACATCAACATTGATGAACCCGATTTTCAACGGTTTAATATAGAAGCATTTTACCATTTACGACTGTTCATCTAAACCAGGAATACTTCACTTTGTTAACTAGCTTCTGCCTGTAGTGGCTGGGCTATTCTAGCTTCCAGATAGACCAATTTATTCATTTTTCTTGAGTCACATTTTGATATTGTCAATTATTCGCTTATTAACCTTCACTTTTCATATGAGTGTGTGTGTTAATCATTGACTACCCCACTAAATAAATAAATCAGCGGTACGGTTTCTAATGAACTACTTAGACAATGTACATTGAATTTTGAAAAAGCATGCCAGTGATGTTAATGTTACGATCTAGCCTGACTTCATAATCCTAATAAGCCTTCAGTATGGCACGTAGGCCTACGTCAATTATTCTCAATTACTCAACGTCTGACCCGGAATGACTGTTTAAATTTTTCGGTCACTAAGTTGGTCGCTCAGTTAATTAGGTATTTGACAATCTTATAAATGATTTTTTATATGTATCTTTTTGGGAAACAGAAAAATCAAACGATTTTTGGCCACATTATTTATTTGACAGTCAAATGTTAATTGAAAAATTCCCATATTGTAATTTAGAACAACATATATAAGCGAAAAATATTGTTTTCGATTAGATCCTCATCAGGCTTTATTCTAATATACAGTACTATTTATACGCATATACGAAATCATTAAACTAATCAACGTAGTTTATGAGTCAATGATAATAATGAAAAAGATTACGCAAATAAACATAAGAAGTGAAAAGTACAAATTGATAGTATGATTTCGTATGTGCATATAAATATTATTGTATATTAGAGTAAGCCTGGTGAGGATCTAATCGAAGACAATATTGTTCGCTTATATGTGTTGTTCTATATATTAATTAAGCGTAAACTATTTAAGGTGAAATTTGATTATTTTCAGAGATGTAGCACTAACATTGGCTGTTAAAACGAATGAACAGAAAGGTACAACTGTTCAAACTACAAAACGTTTAAAAGCAACAACAGCTGAATTAACTATGTTAATGACTACAGCATTTGAACTTGAACAACAAGTAAAGGTAACTTAAATATACTGTTTATTTTTTTTTAAATATTATCCTGTGACGATTTGATTTTATATAAAAACAACTAGCCGCTTCATGAAAAGCCAATTACAGATAATAAACTGAAAATCTTTCTAATGTGATTTGTTCCAATTCACACGATAATAAATAGTAGCTATTTATATGAAGTTCTTGTCTTGTCGTCTGCTAACAGCAGAGCAGTTAAGTGACTTCATTAAATATGTAAATGATGACAAAAGTGGTTGCATAGTATCAGCTACCGTGCATTCTTTGGACGATATTTTGGAAATTTCTTCATAATCTCACAGTCGTCTTATGGTTTGACATCATCTTGGAAAACTGTATTATTGTTAGTTGCTTTTAAACTTCATCAATTGTACTACTGACTGAACGTTTGGGTTGTTATTGAATCGTATAGCACTTTTGAAATATGAAAACAATATACTGAATACACCATTTGCAAAACTTCCTTGAATTATCATTGGCGATCTCCACTGTTCTTTCGTCCTCGTTTTTACCACAACTGCTTTTATTTTCCTTTCTCCTTTCCCCATTTTCCTCCTTCGTCAGTAAGACTCCGACTTCTAATTTCTGATGCATACTATTTATATCTGCCGTATAAGTAGCACACACTACGGTATCACCACTTTTTCTGAACTGTTTTCACTAGGAATTGTCTTACGGTATATTTTAACCACCACATAGCTTCGTGAAACTGATTGTTTGCATTGTCACATGAGTAACCTAATATACTTGGGTCTCCATGAGCAAATCCGTTAACTGTTGCTTAACTACAAACATACAGCCTTTGGTATGTTTTTTATATCACCTATATCGAGTTTAGAATTACCAATTTATTTAAAAGGACTTATGTTTATAGGACAGTAATCACTTAAATGCCTTTTTTCATTTGAAATAAAGTAAGTTTCATTTATGTCAGTCGTTTCATACTTTTTTGCTGCCATCCAAGGCAAATTTTAGTCCTTGTAAACCATATTTTGATATACCGAATTTACATTTCATTAATATCTAAATAATAAAAAACGGTAGCAATAAGTACAAGACATTATTTAGCTTTAACAAGTGGCAATGGTTGTCTATAGTAACATTTATATAGGGTTGTGCTATCCAGGTTTAGTTCACTTTTGCTTTAATATATAACACCTATATTCTGCAACAGTATTTATTCAAACCCTAAAAGGTCTGAAATTTGGCCAAAGGTTTTTTAAACTAGTTAAGACGTTTATCACATTTACCCTAATTTATTTTCGTTATTTTAATATTTAATTAGGAACTAAAGCTTGAAAACTAATTTTTCATCATTACTGAATGCATTTTTTGTATTTAAAGGAACGTCGAACTTTTCTTAAAGAGTGTTATCAACGCATGGAGGCCGGGAATCCTCCTACAGATGATGTTATCGAAGAATTAGAAAAATATAATAGAATAGTTCAGTGGAAATCTGAAAGAGCAAGAATTTCAAAGGTATGTTTTAATTTTAAAACGTAAGTGGTGAAGAATTTTGTGACATTCGTAAATTAAGTCATAAAAGCCTTCAAACGTTTATATCTAAATATGTCAGTGTTTACATTTGTACATGTGTAAATAAATGTCTGATTTTTGTAGAAATAATTCAATTAAGATGTGCTCATAATTTTATAACGTAATAAATGTCTAAATGATCGTAATAGTGTTTACAAGTTAGCAGGTCATTCAATTATGACGAAATTAACATCATAGATATAATATCCTTCTTAAACTTAAGTTTAAGTTAGTAGGGAACTGCGATTCACTAGACTGTAAGTGAATCTTGGTGACCTTTAGAATCTGCATATCGATGTACGGCAATAAGCTGAGTTAAAATAAGGATGCTTATGTTATTTACATCTTCAAGGTCAACTAATTTATTCACGCATAAACATATGCAGCTACTAAAAGGCTGTATGTGGTTGATATTCGTGCAGAATAAATTGTTTAGCCTCCTATCTTTGCACAGAACAAACGATAATTAAGTTCTAAAAAAACCACGAAATATTTTGTGACAGTGAATATTTCTCCGGATAAATTCAAGGTAGGCACTTTATATTTAGATGAAAATTGTTTTCTTTTCTCCATCCAGTACTCAGAAATATTTATTGCTGACATATAAAACAAGTGTTTAACTTATTCAATTAAATTATTTTATTAAGTAGGGGAACTACATCCAATGAATACAAATATCACTTTTGTTCTATTCAGTGTAATAGATAAAATTGAATTACTCTAAGTTCCTTCAGTTGGAATATAATTCAAACACGAAAAATTCATTTTTTTCAACACCATTTTTCCTACTTTAGGCTTTAGAACTAGATGACTACTGGACTACTGCTCCGGAAAGACCTAACGCCTACCTAATTCATCGTAATGTATCAAACAAATCCTATGAGAACCCACCAAATACAGCCCCCAATCCTGGTAGTTCAGATGATCAAATGTCTAGTCCAAAAACAAACTCAGTTTTGATACCATATGGAGCTCATGCACCATTCCGACCTAATGATCCTAGTTCACATATGCGTCATTTTCGAAAACCAGAGTTGAAACCCGTTGATACCTAAAATGCGTTTTTTTCTTTTAATCAGTTTACTTCATAGATGTTTTAGTGAATTATGCTACTGTATCATTTATTTTCGTTGTCTGTACTCCATTATTTAAAACATATTGTTTATTTAAAAGTTGGGTTGTTATACAAATGTCCCATTAAATTTAAGTAAACCAAAAAATTCACACAAATGGTTGGTAACAACCGCTTAGTAATGGTTCGCCAAATCAGCGCAATAATTTTCATAAAGCATTCTTTTTCTTTGTTGTTCTCAGTAAAATTGGTCCTCAGTCTCTACATTAAATAGTCTGCAGACATTACTCCGTTTTAAACAGTCCTCTTTGAAGACCATGGGACAATTTTGACTGCCTACCATACAAAGGTTAGAGATAGAAAATAGATTTCTAGTCTTTGCAATGTTCTTTAGTAAGCTAAACTCCTCTATGCAACCAATTTTGTCCACTGTAAAACAAAGGAAGTTTTGGAATTAAAAGTCATGTATACACTAATTAGTATCTGATTCTTCAGTTTTAAAGCTCTTTTGTCATCAAGGTACATGGTCTGTTTTCTTTCAAAGTATGATTTACCATGAAACGACCGATTTTGTAAATTACTTACTCATAATCGTTAATATGTGAATTATTTTAAGAAGAATGTTCAATTATTCGAATTCTTATTAAAGGAATGATGCCAACGCAAACGATAAATATCTGAATAGCTTGAAGTCACTAACTTGTAGTCTGAGCCATGTTGGTAGATGCAGACTACTTGGTTGGGGTCCGCGTGACTATCGTAATCAATGGTTGGAGACTCTTGGTGACATGGCTCAGAATCGATCACAATGGCGTCGGTGTATACACTCCCTGTCTTCCCTTAAACTAAGAGATTAAAATCGCTTCATATCTTTCTTTCTACGAACCAATTTTTTCTTGTATTATATCTCTATATGCAATCTTTCCCTTATATATTACCACCTTTGACATAACCACTGCTATGAATCCGGTGTTCATCTTGTTGTACTGATGCGGTATGGCAACCTGGACCGATGCACATATGTGCCTGGTCCTACGTTGTAGCTGACTGACTGACTGAATAGCTTGTAATGATATTTTGTCCTGTTATAGTTTATCTTCATACAAGGTTAGCAAAGTCGGAATAAATGAATCAACGTATATCTATTTAATTGTATGCAATATACCCAGGTTTATCATTCATGTTAAAACATCACTCTTATAGATTGTTTAATTTTATTATTGGCTTCGAAACGCATTCAACATTATTTTGACCATGTACTAAACAATTTAAGTTCTGAACAATATTTTGTTTATTAAACGCACCACGTAGATATTATAATTACTGTCATTTTTTACTTATTTTACACCAAAACATTAAAGAAATTCATTTCAACTATGCATTTTATTATTGGAAAGTGTAAACAATGCTTCTTTAGAAAGCGATTTCATAGAAACAACAAACAAAGCTTTTAAAAATTCAGTAGCGAAAAGTTATTCAACGAAATGTCTAAGATCTTTGATATATGAATCAATTTAACAAATAATATTATCTGTTTAATTTCAATGAATGCATTACTTCAAAAGCATTAGGTTTTTCAACGCCTATAATAATGATTAAAGGTGATGGATTGTTATAACTAATCTGTTCAGTCCAAAAATAAACCTGAAGAATAAAAGTAATGTTTTAGCATGAATTGGTTCAGTTATTGCCATTTTTATTTGTTATTAACTATTTAACCGAATAAATAAATTTAGTTTGGTCAATCTAAAAATAAAACGTAAATTAGACTGGTTTTATGGAAAGAGAATTTGAACAACATATATTTCTCACTTATGTAATTATTATGGTGCTTGAATAAGACTCTGGATTATTTCACAAACTGTAAACTCGAGCAACTAGTCAATAGGTTAATGGACTGACACCAACATGTAAGATCACTTATTTGTAGTCAGAATTCACGATATTAAATTTATTGTCCAGGGCGTTCGGTTAGAAATTTGCTACAATTATAGTGAATCAAATATTTACTCAAAATTTACTCAAGAAATACTGATGGCTTCTGATACTATAAATAAATAAATACATCGATCTATGATTGTATTAACTATGTGAAACCATTAGAACTGGAAACTGGGCTTTCCTTACCAGATTAAAAATGGTATATTATTCAAAACAGTCCTTTATAATAAAACATTTTAAAATAATTCAGCTACTTAAAATCAAATATTGTAACACATAAAAAAGTAGTAAACCAACCTTAAATCTTCTTAGACAGAACTCCCACTTCAAACGAACTCGTTTTTCCAACGGTAAATGTAGAAATTCTTCGACATTGCATCCCAAAAGTTTTCCATTGCAATACTGGCTAAAAGACATCTAGAATATGTTCCTGTATGGTCTGATAGATGAACAAATGTACCGTATTCCATCTGTGGAGAAGTTTTAAGATTCATGAGGGAAATTATTTATTTGTACAGTTTTGTATGAGGCATTATCCCTATCTAATGTTGTCTATGTGTCATCACATACGATGAAATCTATATGGAAAGTATAGGAAGGACAATCAAAGTAACGAAGCTCAAAAACTCTAAACAGAGAGCTTGGAAAGTCCCCCTCGATTTTAAAGTTGGTATTTGTAAGTCTTGTAGTAAGCTAAAAAGCAGATCTGAGTCCACGACCCAGATTGATTATTGGCAATAGAATAACTTTTTTGCTAATATTGGCATCATGGGTATTCAAAACAAATCAGCTCTATTTAAAAAGTGTTAATTTGATCAAGTCATATATTTTGAGTTGACAGAAAAATGTTCATTTTTGATGATAATTCACTTAGTGGTGTTGTGTTAATAATTTTAAATGCCCAAATTCAAATAATCTTTCTTTCAATTGGAGTCTGAAACGAAGAAATATTGACTGAACCTGCTTTTTTATGTAGGTTTTCATTTTTAACTGTTTCATGTGGAGCTAGCTACATCGAGCTTTTAATCAAACAAGTTCGTCATCGTATTCCGGACATTTGATTGTAGAACGATGTAGAAAAATTAACACAAAACCTTCAAACCTTTATTTTCGTGTTAATATAGCCCTTTGTATTCCTGAGAGACATTTAATTTCGATTGTGATGCTTTAAGAATGGTAACTTGAGGCATACTCTTGTACTTCAAACACTTATCAGGATAAATTCCATCACACAGTTTCAATGTTAGTGACAACTGTGTCTGCAGACAACAAATACTTCAAGTCTTCTAGTTTAGATGATATTAGTGTTCTTTGTGTTATAAATCTGCTCAGTAGACTTGTTAAAAGAACACATAACTTGATTAGCTTTTTGAAAGTATTTAACAATATTTAAAATGTTTCATATAACTTGCCTAGTTTTATACTGTCGATATGTTTTGTATAGTTTACTGAATCCAGTTGAGACGAAAAAATGATTACATCTTTTATTCTCAGTTTTACTAATCATAATCAACTTTTAACTACTTTGCCAAACTCAACAAGCGAATAAATTTTTAGCCAACCGCATTATTAATAAAACATTATTTATAGGTGTTTAGTACAAAGAAGACTGATTATCTTTCCGAACTTCATTTACGATTTTCCTTAGCAACTTTTCCTAATGGTTTACTTTGATGTGTTATTAAACAAACATATGTGAGACTTGCTTTGGATTACTTATAATGAATAATGATACGGAATGTCACTGTGTCTGCCCCAGGTCATCTGGTTCGTACTTTTTGAAGCGTATTTGTAGAACGTTTTCTGTGTTGTTTGATTTTTCTTAGTGTCTGTATTCTACTACACTAAAATCATTCTACAGCTTTTATTATTTATTACTTTTTCTAAGTGCCCATACAATAAGAAGTAATACCAAAATGATTGTTTTCATAGAGCCAGTAAAGCAATAACTGTGTTTTTTTCTCAGAATACAATTTTTCCTGTGAGAGACAACCGCTGCCTGAAACCTTTAATTATAATGGGGTCGAATCTTTACTAAAAATGCTAAGAATTAAGTGAAATGTTAAAAAATTATTAGTTTCGCATGACTGAAGCAAAAGTGGTTAGCTCGGCTAAACTATTTGTGGTGGTTTTTGAGACAGTCTTTCATTTCTATTCATAAGGCTTGCTTTGTTTGGGTTCCGAATAATTTCTTCTGTTTCCCTTACATATTTGATAGAATCGTTATTCAACAAAGCCATAAAACGAAAGAATTATTCATTAACTGTAAATAATTTAGTATTATCAAAGAAATTCTACTCACATTTACGTGTTGTTTATCAAACCAAGACAGTCTTTGTCCACTTGTCGGACAACCTGGAGTGGTGCACATTGCAAACAGACGTTTAACATTTGGGTCAAGTTTTTTTCCAGGTGCTGTCATATCATAGTCTGCTGGCGGATCACATGACCTCAAACGACCATGACAATTAGAGCATTGCAGTGTTACGAGGTACTGTGAATTTTCACAGTCCAAATCGATTTTCGTAAACACGGCGAATGTACAAGCGTATCCAGCGACAACTAAGAAAATATTTCAAAACTTATTTTTGAGTGAACATGAAAATAATTTCAAATGATCGAGCTGTATTGGACGCTCCGGTCTTACTGAGACAAAAAAAGTTTTAGTTTCGTTTGTATACATAGTAAAAACTATTTCACTAGTTTTGAATCAGTTATTAAAACTATTTTTGTATAAAAGTAAGTAGTTCATTATTAATCTTGGAAGAAAACAATATTAACCAGGTGTAATAGACAAACATATTTAAAACTCCTAAATTCCACTATACTGCGGCTCCAAACAACTTTATCCCTAATGTTTTTGCTAAGTAAATATATATTTAGTTTGTTCCGATGGTATTATGATTGTCTGCCATAAGTAAGCCTTGTCAGAACTTCTCATCCAATTATTCTATTTACTTACTTACTTATGCCTGTAACCCTTCGTGTAAAAGCATACGCCACCCACCAGCATTCTCCAGAGAACTCTGTCCTGGGCAATCCTTTCCAGTTCTTTCCAGTTGCTACTCATCCTTTTCATGTCCGCTTCCAACTCTTGATGTAGTGTGTTCCTTGGTTTTTCTCTTCTTTTCCACTCAGGATTCCAAGTTAGCGCTCGCCTCGTTATGTAGTATGATGATTTCCGCAATATATTTCCTAGTCACATGCAACGTCTTTTCCTAATTTCCTCTTCATCTGGAGGTCAGCCTGTTCTCTCTCACAGTAGGTTGTTGCTAACGGTCTCTGACCAACGGACATTGAGTATCTTGTGTAGACAACCGTTTATAAATACTTGTATCTTTTTGATGATATTTGTGTTACTTCTCCAAGTTTCAGATCCGTACAACAAAACCGCCTTGACGCTCGTATTAAAGACTACGACTTTGATATTTGTTGACAGTTGTTTTGAGTTCTCTATATTTTTCGACTGTAGAAACGCTGCCCTTGCCTTGCCAATCCTTGCTTTCAAGTTGGCATCAGATCCTCCTTGTTCATCGATGATACTGACCAGGTGCGTGAAAGTTCCCAACTCTTCCAGAGTTTCTCCATCAAGCGTAATTGGGTTTGTGTTCTGCGTGTTGTGTTTGAGGATCTTGCTCTTGCCCATGTGTGTGTTCAGGCCTACTGATGTAGAGGCTGTTGTTTCACCGGCTGTCTTCATCCGCATTTGTTGGTGTGTATAGAATATAAGGGACATGTCATTTACAAAATCAGTATCATCCAGTTTCAAACAAGTTATCCACTGTATTTGTTGCCTCCCTCAGATATGGGGTTTTTCATAATCCAGTCGACAACTATAAGAAAGAGAGTAAGCAGCCTAGTCTAACTCCGATCCGCACTCGGAATGTGTCTGTCAGCTATCCTTTACTCAATGTCGTCCGTTGTGTGGATTGCGGATGGTGTCGATGATCTTTCTTTAACTCCATAGTGTCAACGAAGGTTTCATAAGGTTCTCCTATCCACGTTGTCGAATGCTTCCTCATGGTCAACGGAGTTGATGTATAGTGACGAGTCTCATTCAATTGACTGTTCAACGATGGTCCGTAGTGTTTCAATTTGGTCTGCGCATGACCGACCCTCACGGAATTCGTCTTGTTGATCTCAAAGCCAATCGTCTACCGAGTCATTTATTCGGTTCAGCAACACTTTGTTTAAAGTGTTTCCTAGTACCGATAGTAGTGTGATATCTCTGTAGTTTTCACAACTGCTAAGATTTCCTTTCTTTGGTAACTTAATAAGATATCCTTCTTCCCAGTCTGTCGTCATTTGTTCCTCCTCCTTCCAAATCTTTTTGAATAGGACGTGGAGTATGTGTGCAGTTACTCCTATGTCTGACTTCAGTGCTTCAGCTAGTATATTGTCAAGTCCAGCTGCTTTCCCCATCTTGATTTGTCTGATGACCATTCTAATTTCCTCGATCGTTGGTGGAGTGACATCTACAGGGAAGTCTGTAAGTACTCTTTAATGCCCAGTGAATTTAATGAAGCTGGCCTATTCGACAGTTCTTCTATGTGTTCTACCCACTTGTTCATTGTGTTGTACAGTTGTCTCATATTCCTTTCCTTTGCAGCTTTTTCCGCGGTCGTTGCTAGATCTTCTGTATACTTCTGTTTGTTTGATTTACCGCTCTTTTAAAAAGACCACTATAATGCTTTTTCCACAGTGCTCTTCAAATAGTTTTGTTTATTATTTGTTTTTATGAAGTTATAGTATAAATTTTATCATTTAGACTTACATATTTGGATTAAACCAACACCTGAACTGTCGATATCTTAGCAAAAACGTTTTATGTTCAAGCTTTAGGTTCAACATTTAGCAGTAATTAATTAGCAATAGCCAATGATTAACGTGTATAAACAATTATGGTTTTAATAGTGTAAATGTATGTGTTTGTTACCTTTTCCTTCTTTGAGGTCCCGAACAGTTAAGATATTGTGAATACTTGTCAGAGGAACTTTGTAAATCTGAAAAAAGAATATTGTTATTACGTTTTGTTTGAAAACTTTTATTAGGAAGATAATTACTGTTTATGATACATTCAAAATCTGCCAAACTAATGTTTTCCAAAATAAATGATGGAATTGTTTTGAGACGCTATCGTGAAATCATCTATTTTCTACCCTATTAGATTTAATGATTCCTTGGAAATCTATCAGTATCAGATAACGACAAACCGAAAATATAATTTTTTATCACGATTCTGGTTTAAATCAATGGGTTCAAAAGTGACTTTGGAAAGGGATGGAAACATGTTAACACAATACCAGTAGCCTTCGTAGTTTTCGCGTATATGCGCTAAATGAAACCTTAAGGTGTTGTTCTAGTAATAAGAAGCAATAAATGTTCGGAATTCCAATTAAAAGGTTATTAAATTTTCAAAATACAACTTTTTACAGCCTTGTCCTCTGTACCAGAGTGGTTATAAAGCAGATACGTGGCAAATTTCATGTTGTAGCATTGATGCAATCAAAAGAACTTTTCCTGGTGTAAATTTACAACCTCGATTCCTTTAGGAGTCAAAAATGTAACTACTAGTTTCTGGACTTTTTAGAACATAAATCTATGTAGGCGAGTTTAAAACACGTTCTCATACAGGATAAGGTTGATTTGGATTTTGTAATCTGAATTCAAAAGATAAGATTTATTGAGACACGTTTACGCTATCCAACACCATAAGTGGCTTTCATTGTGTTTATTGTTAAGTCAGCAGTTTTTGATGATGCCCGCTGAAGTATTTATTTTTGCGACTTATCACACATTGATGCAACTACTCTGTTAATTTATTGCCTATTTAACTTAAACTGTATTAAACAGCTCTAGTTGTTAAATGCAATTATAGATCTCTATTCGATTGAGGTCAAGTACAAACCAGTACTACGATTACTAAATATCGCTAGAAGTTTAAAAGATACAGTTTGGTTGCAGTGTACAATATTTCTGCAGGTTTTAAAATATGTGCAGAAACAGTCAAAAAGTATTAAATCTTAAAGTATTATAACTGAGCGACATCCTCCTCGTATTTAACTGCAGCTTTAGTGATCCAAACACTAACCAAATAGTCGATTTCTAATTCATTCCAGTAGAAAATACGACAAGGGCCGAAATATACAAATTAATTGCCAACTTATCTGTGATCAGTCGTCGAGATATAGTTCTTCAAAGTATAGTCTACCTTTAATAAATCAATACAAAAAATGGATTTATTTTTATCTGTGAAAACTAATATGAGCAGAATATGGTAACTAGGTGAAGACAGACATGCTCTATCATAATTGGGGACGTAACTAGTCAATTTTTATTAGAACTCTGATACACTGGTGGTTTCTACTCACATTACTGTGCTAATAGTTATATTTTGAGTAAACAAGATATCATATCTCTTGAATCTGCCTTTCAGTCATTCGTCTGATATTTCTTGTCTCTTTATTACATAATCATATTTGATGGTCTACCTATCTAGTATATTATTCAAGTATCAAACGTTTTATCTCGAATCGTGGTCTACTGTCCCAAATATAGTACATTGATCTACCTTGCGCATTATCTAGTCATCCCATTGCATGTTATCAAATAAGTGAACTTCAAATTCAGTCATTTCAAGAGTAATAACAAGACCACTTAACTAGTGCCAGGAAGCACGCTTTGTAAACTGTTCTCCTTTCTGACTAATTTATTATACCGTAGGCTTTACCGTAAGAATTTTGAACATACCACACTACTGTAAAGAACAAACATGAAGAATGATGGAAGCGACCATTTTCTCACTGTCAACAACGCATCGTCATTGTTCACAGGAATACTTACAGTAGTCAATTTTCAGCTCCTATATCAATACAGGGACTTAAAGTCATACCTTAAATTGTCTCAAAGTACGTTGTAAGATGTTAATTATGCAGACCAAAGATACAGAACCAAAGGTTGTGGTTAATCATTTGTGCCTGTAATATTACTTAAGTGGTAAAATAATCAGTCATATAGCATGTAAAACAAACGTTAGTAAACAGCATATTGAATACTAATACCACTTGCAGTTATTTATGTCGCAATAATGTCACTGTGAGACATAATGATGTTTAAAACGCTTGGAATATAAAACAACTTGCTTATCAAAATACAGTGTTACTAGTATGTCCTAGAATGAACACAAAATCTTGATGTTGTTTATCCCAAAACTCTCATTTTGTTCGAGATGATGGTTAAATCTTTATCTTAAGCATTCGTCAATCTATAAACAAAAATCAATGAAATAGGCAAGTTACACTTCACAAATTAGCTGTAATTCAATCTACTCAATTACAACGATAATTATAAACTCTAAAACATTGTTATGATACATTATATTTTAAAGACTATTTTTCCAATTTCTGACCTCCGGTTGAGCCGTTTTATATCCCATTGGTAAAGATTGTAATAGTCTGTCATCCACATTCTCAACAATGAACGAAGTGTGGCCGCTTTCCAAAATATCTATGCTTTGAGTCCGATGTTTGGAGTGTTGACTTAAACGATTGGCCTCTGCACAGTCAGGTGAGATAATGATTAGGGTTTTTGAGTTTGGTGAGGCAACCACACCTTTGCGGTAGCGATCGTAACGAACTGGACAGTTTACAATCGATAAAACGGTAGACTGAAACAAGATTCGAGTGAAAACATAATGTTTTAATACCAAACATTGGACAGCCTTAATCTCACACTTTATAGAACACATTAGGATTTGGAAGAAATTATTAATTTTGAAGTACATGTACCAAGGCTTATGAGTTATAATCAAATAACGTGGCTTTGGCACCTAAATTCTTAATTATCAGGTCAGTATCTCAAACACAACTTATTTCATCAGGCTTATCAACTTCATCGTAAGTGCATATGGAAATTTGAGATGTACTAACTCAAGTCTTTTCGTTTTAAAGACGTCCTACAGCCAGTAGATTTGTTTATTATGCAAAAACTCGGGTTTATTCATGAGACGCAGTGGTTTTAAATAGGAAACTAATAACTACCTCCAAAATGGTCCTTAAAATACTATCTGATTTAGTGAAAAAGATATATTGTAGATTTTTAAAGCTATAGCTAATAAAACATTTGACCTACAAATGATATTTTGCATGTAGCTTTAGTAAATATCCTTTTATTTATGGTCACAAAAGCGGAATTCCATGGTTTTACACAAAATTCTTTTCCTTTTTTACGCGAGTGAAAAATGTTCTGCACATTTAACAAATTGTCGAACGTAAATGAGTATAGACTGACTTCCCAAAGTTTGCTAATGATGCCTTACAAGCATAAGTACGAAGGTCTAACCAGTTATGCTACTACTTAAAAATATCCACAGTTTAATGGCAAACATTAAGGCGCCTTTTTCATGTTTTACTCCCCAAGTATATGTTAACTGAAATTGGGTTTTAACTGATTGCTTGACATATATCTAAAGCAGCTATATATAAACAATCAAGTTTAGTTAAATGGCCACCGAGAAACGAAAAAATTATAACGACCAAAAAAGACAACAAATGACATGAAAGTTCTTGTTACCTTTAATTTGTTGCTAAGTTATCAACAGACTTTATAAATGATGCAAGGTTTCATTTTAGATAAAATGAGAAAAATATTACAGTAGGTCCAAAGTAATTATTTAAAGGCTCTTGCAGATTTTTCTTTTTTATCAAGTTATCGCCTAAAAAACCATCATATTCAATTCCAACTAACTAGTGTCAACAAACAAAAATTTTCAATGTACATATATGATATACTAAAGGAATTCTTATGGCTTAATAGACCGTCATACAGCTAGCATTGTCCTCCAGGTTTTGTCATCATGATAAAACTTCTAATCGAATGGTTATAATTTTCAGATTAATTCATTTTGTAAAGAATATCATTAAGATGCTTGAAGGCTTACATATGGTATAAAAGCTGTTAGTGCAATGTGAATCCACTCTTCATTCCAAAAGATTAGCGGAAGACAGTTACATGAATCATCAAAAAGCATGACTTCACACAGCTGAAGTACCGTTTGAACCGCTTCCATCGACTGAACTGGCTTTGATTTGTTAGTTGTGCTCGCGTTTTGTATTGTTAATTCCTCGTCTCCTTCACACTTTAGTCTTTTTTGAGACATTAATAAAGTTTTTGGGTGTTTAACTTCCGAAACAACTGCAAAGAACGTAAACTCTAAAGAAGGATTATATATTTTCCAGTTGAAGTGGCTTTTGTTGTTTGACAATCTTTTGGAGTAGATTTCCTGTATTACTTGATGCAGAGGTCTGTGATACGCTGCTGAGCATACTAAAGATGACTTTTGTGACAAGAGTTAATGGGTTAAAAACGGTATACATGGTTTTGACGTAGGATAAAATAAATTCTAATTAGATGCACTAGAGAATCACATTCCGAAAAAACACCGATAAGTGTATTGTTTTTTCCTATTTAAAATGCAGCAATCATTGCACTGATTGCAAATTACTAGCATACAGTTACCCTAGCTGCTACTAGTTCTGTGCTTTCTAGGAAATTCAGCTGACAGCAAAAGAGATCTTGTTGAATTCATCGGGCATCTGATCATCAAACCAATTTTTATTCCTAACTGTATTATGCTAGATAGCTATTGTATGAAATATATGCAGTTGGTCAAACATTAAACCAATATGTTATTCTAGATAATAAAAATTTGGGTTCGTTTGTAAGATATGAAAACAATGGCTGAGGAAAAATATAAATTAGTGACAACTGCTCCTTAGTAAAATGCAATATTACGATACACTACATTCTGTCAACCCTGGTAAAGCAAAGCAGTTCAATGCTAAAAATTAAATACACACTTATTCTACGTCAAGCATATTGCATGGACATCTACTTCTAGTCACATCAGTCATCACACATTCAACATATTGTCTAGCTAAAAATATATTTCATCTGTCATGGTTGATATCACTTTAATTCGTGACCACAATTGTGTAGACGTTGATAAACTACCATGTTAGACGCGTGGCTTGACAACACGTGTCGTTAAGATTTGACGAAATCATCCACATAAAACAAAATTCATCTCAAAACCAGTCAAAATCTAGTGAAATTTATTAGTTTCATAAAATGATCAGCGATATGCAGTCATTTTCTTCAAGAAATTTTGTTTGGTCAATAGTTTTTCTGTTCATAAGGTTTTGAAATTCGACATTTTTATACTGTAAAGACCATCCATTTCCGAAACAAAAACTTAACAGATCAAGACGATGGCCTAATAACTTTAAACCTTTCTTTAAAAGATGTCTGGCTTAAACCTTTTGTGGTCAACACCGAGCGAAAATTGAACCTTTTGACAAATGATAATAATTTTCCAAAACATATTACGCTATCCTAAGATACGGGTGCTGAATACCGTCAAGATTTTACATCGGCATAAGCTTAACGTTTATACTTCTAGTCAAAAGTAGATCTGGTAACTCTTGAACGTCGGTTTTTGTTTTAATCAGAAATCACTAACTTTTAGGCGGCTTGTATATAACTTGTCGGGAAGTGCATATTGTGTAATGCTTCCACTCCTGTCCCTCAAAAGCAGATGATAATTTGAAGGTGTTTGAACCATGAAACGTTCTTCATAAGAGTTTCTTTCTTTGAACTTTAGTTTGGCATTAAGCACAATTACGCAATCGCCTTGCGAGAAAAATAATCGGAATTCGCATACTAACCAATGTTAAATTGGGATGCCACCGAATTAACACTCGAAAATGTACCCCAATAGCTTCCGTTGATCCAATCATATGTGCTGTCTCTAAGAGTGAATCCTAATACAGCTTGACTGTTCGAACCAGAGAAATTAGTAGTACATCGTTTAACAGACTGTTTCTGAATAATCACACCTAAAAGGTTAACTTTAGTGTGTTTTTCGGAAATGTTTCTTATATTGATAAGTTCGTATTCATCAAGAATGTTTGGCTGTTGTCGTTTTTTATGTATATACATTTTTATGTTAAAGCGCAGTAATGAATCCGAAGTTTGTTTTTCCGCCAAATCTGTTAATCCATGCCTTCAATAACCAATATTTTAAACACGATATTGTACGAACCGACTAGCTTTTTGTGCTTGCTTCTTGATTTATCATTACGGCAACGCGTAGTTCTCAATGTTAAATGAGTGTTGGCCTAGACATTTGATTTCACTCATCCTTGTCTGTACGGTGTTTATTTGTGGGTTTGTAGATCTTGTAGGTTGAGTGAATACATTTGAATTCTGCATACCAACAGCCATCAAACTGTTAAGCAGAAGGTTGATTAAAATGTAAAAATGTGTAAGAATATGGGAGTGAAAGAATATGAAGGAAATTGGAGATGATAGTAGGCGAAATAGGAATAAAATACTGGTATGTGTCAATGACATTGTGGCAAGTTATGAGACATGTATCCGCCACAGCTGGGTCAAGAACGAGATGATTACTGCCGGTCCTAAGCTCGGGTAAAGAAGGAGGATTGTGCATGTGTTCAGCAACGCCACCCCGTAGGAAACAAACCTTCTAAAAACATACTAATCAGAACAAACAGATTTGACCGTACATACGATGCCTCCTACATTAAAAGATCTTTAATTATACGAATTGTGATGCCCAATGTAGAGAGCCGACATTGTTCGTAGTTGAAAACTAATACGGGAACACGGAATGTTCGGACAGTGTGAGATAGGTAAGACTTATGAAATAGCTGAGCAAATGAGAAAAAAACTTGGTGGTGCTCGAAATCAGATGCATCCTGCAGAATATTAATGTATAACAAATTGAAGTGGATTACCAGAAGATGTGGAGAGTTTTATTTCTCAAGAAGACAAATGAATCTGTAAACTTTATTATTTGTATAATGCGGTACAACCAATGAAAATTACGTGAAAATAATGCGGCGTTCGCCAGTAATAACAGGTGAATAAGATTGCGATTATAGCAGGCATGTAACGTCACGACAGTAATTTTCAATTCCACAAACCTAATGTCCTACGCTCCGATTTTAGTTTTTCATGTCATCTATCGATTTCGAAATGATGATAAGAGTTCTTGTAATAGGACCAAAGTTGACCTGCGTAGATTTGGGGTTGTAATATTTTCTTCGTTGATCTCTTCGTTGATCTTCTTCGTAAGCATTTTTTCTTAGACTGTTCTGCTAGTTTGTTTGAATAATTAACGGGATATCTATCTACAGTTCAGGGTTTAATTGAACGTACTAGTTACCAAATCTAATGACTTCTATTCTTTTTAGCCTTTCGATAATCTCCATATTTAGTTTTGATGTCAGATTTACCAGTCATATAAAAATGTTGTGTTATTAAAGGGGTCAGCACGGTGAAATTATTTTGACTTATTTAAACTGAGTTCATTCAGCCTTGAAATCGTAAAGGTTAATGAACGATATTGAGTTGTTGTCAGTGTATGAGGAAATATATGGCAAATGAATATTGAATTTATCATTAATTCAATGAAAAGTCATTTATATATGGGCCATTTGACGATAAACCTATTCTTATGAAATATATAAATAAACGCATTGTCACTTGTTCCTCCTCGATACATATCTGCTATTCGTTGTGCCTGAAGCACCTGCAACCAATATTTAATTTTCATCACAAATCCGGATATATGCTCAACCAACAAAATCGTCAGCATGTAAATGACAATCTAATGTTGTTTTTGATTACCTGAAATACTTGCCTCCGACCAAACAGTCCATGTAAGGTTTTTTTAAACTCTTTGACAAATCCTAAGGTTAAAAATTGTTATACTCCCAGACAGCTAGGACTGAGAGCTTATATTAGGCTGCAGGATATGCAAGGACATCGAACAAATACGAAGGCACCAAGAAAAGACGAACAATAATACTGGACTAAGGCGTTTAACAAATCTTCAACTGTATTTGAATTTATGGTCTCCACACAGTTATGCTGATAATGACAATGGCAATGGATGAAACCTTAAATAAATGTTTCAAAATATTATAATGTTTCGGTTTTCTGGATAAAACTACAAACTGATATCATCAGGACAACTTGGTAAGCAAAGCAATCTTGAAACTCAAATTTCGTCTTCACAAATTAATATTCTGAAAATATGTAATAGTCTATAAGTGATGTGATGTAAATCGTACGTACAACGTACATAGATTTTACTCATCAGTGAGGTTAGTCGAATAAAACTTGGAAGTTAACAAGATGGAATCTTTGTATTCTTAGTACCTCCGAAAAGTAATCGAGCTTTGGATGAACCCATCATTTGGTGTGCCTTAGGCAACTTTCTATACGTCCTTTATGAGAAAACTTTATGCGCTACTGACAACACGGAGTATCATCTAATATTAATTTACTCAGATTTGTCTTACCACTGCTTCTTTTTAGATAGGTATGTCCTATTAAATAACTCCGCCTGAAGTCCCTCAATAGGTTACTGCCGGTCCCAGGCCCGGATGAAGGAGGGTCGGGCATGGGGTTAGCGACGTCATCTCGTAGAAAACTAACTCCCTAAAAAAACGCTAACCAGAAAAAATTATTCGAACAATTTAAACTCTGCCCTGGGAGTCAGAAGTCTTCATTTGGAAGAACTATGACGCCTTATAGTGAAAGCTGAGTTCCTTCGAAAGTCATGAGGCTGAGCCCTTTCTGATAACCAGAGCAACCATTAATTTAGGTACATGAAATGTTCGTACAATGTGGGACACCGGGAGAGCCTTCCAAATTGCTGCAGAAATGAGAAGATTCAACCTAGAGTTGCTTCGGATCAGTGAAACACATTGGACACAAGTTGGTCAACAACGACTAACTTCAGAGAGCTTCTATTATAATCCGGCCATGAAGAAGAAAGTGCTCCACATACACAAGGAGTTGCATTGATGCTGTCCAAAGAAGCACAAAGTGCAGTTATAGGATGGGAATCTCATGGACCAAGGATCATCAAAGCCTCCTTCAAATCAAAGAAAGAGGGCATTTCAATGAACATCATCCAATGCTATGCGCCTACCAACGACTACAATGAAGAAGCTAAAGATCAATTCTGCAATAGGCTGCAGTCAATCGTCGAGAAAAGCTCAACAAAGACAACAACAAAGACAAGCCCTCACATGGAATCCTCAAGGTCAAAGGAAAGGAGGAAGAACAAGGAACACAGTACACCGAGAAATGGAGACAGACATGAGGAGAATGAACAAAAATCGGATAGAAGTGGAAAGAAAGGGCCAGGACAGAATGGATTGGAGAACGCTGGTCAGTGGCCTGTGCCCCATTAGGAATAACAGGCGTATGTAAGTCCCACTAGATAAAAAAAATCGTTGATCCACATTGACTTCAAGAAGTGAAGTCTTTTCTCATTCTGTTCACAACCGTTTCAAAACTTATGTTAAGTTCTCTTAGCTACCTTGACGCTTTCTGAAGGCCGAAACATTCTGGCGGCTCTATGATTTAACATGTTGTAAGCCACTCGAAACCAAACTCAGCCACCACTTAGTTTCGATTGTCAGGTTGTCTTAATTCTGAACACGTGTTACTATTAGGTGTTATCGGCTGATATTCTTGATAAACGTAAGTTCATTCTTCGTGCTTATTAAGTCATTGGTTCACATTTACATTGTTATTTTATTTCCAGATTCTCTCACACACTGCCCCTCACACCTCAACACACAACGTACCTTCAGGCTAAACACAAAGCCATAAGGAGTTAAACTTTATAATGTTGCCTTCAGATAATGATCCAAGTCATCTACATTGCTCATCTCCAACAAATGCCCATGATACTGAAAATCATGTGTCTAGGACTTTCGCAAGTTCCTCTGCAGATTTCCATAAGTAAGTATTTTTAAATATGCCGTAAGGTTTATGCTGCTCCAGGAAACAAAAATCAAAATGGACTATCGACGATATAGATATTGGGAGGAAACTCGGCGAAGGGCGCTTCGGTTCAGTGCATCTTGCAAGGGAAAAAGCTAGTCGATTTGTCATTGCTTTGAAGGTTTTTTTTCATTCTTGAAAACCTAATTTTGTAGATACTTTTAAAGCCCAGACTAGTAACAGAGGAATTAATGAAACAAGTGCAACGAGAAATAGAAATACAGTCACATCTAAAGTAAGCGTTTTATGTTCTTCATAATAATTCTAGACACCCAAATATTGTTCGTATGTACAGTTATTTTTATGATAAAAAGCGTATTTATTTGGTCCTTGAGTACGTACCTAGGGGGGAGTTATCTAAAGAAATCAATCGTTTTGGTCATTTTGGAGATAGTCGCGCAGCAACTGTAAGTTTATTGATACTAAATGCACTTTATATATATATATATATATATATTTGAACGAGCAGTGAATTCACACAAACAAGTGGACTGCCGCTAATCAACTGCAACTACAGCAAATTCAGCGGAAAAATTCCTATTATTTTAAATTTACAATTCTTTTCGAGAAATTATTTTGTGTTATAAAATTCTTGTCGTGTCTCTTAATAATGCCTTTTGGTGTGTTTAGCTTCTAAAAAAGTGATCTGTTCCGTGTCATGTAGTGATTTAGCTTCCATTCAACCTAAATACTGTCGAAATATGAATATGTAAGAAACCTTAAGTACATATGTGTCAGATAGCCTATAATATATACCTCAGCACATATTTGTTCGAAATCCCTTCTTATTTCTCCATATTGAGACATGAAGGTGATAAAAAAAGCAAGTAAATGAATGCCGGATATAAGATTCCAAATATTTACGTATGGAGTTGTACATACATACACATTGATTATAGGTATTCTGTGATCTTGTTAATGAGCAAGACCTGTTTAGAATGACTGCATATACTGTCTAGGCTTTGCAATGACATTACACTGTCCGTGTCGCTTTTGGGCTTTATGAATCATAACAAGAAACACCAAACTCTGACCGAGTGTACGCCATTATTTTTATAAGTATTCATTGTCTTTTCCCTTATAAGTGATAACCTAATTACTATATAATGACATTCAGTACATCACAATAATGGGACTTTTAAAGTTTCCGTACCCAAAACA